GCCAACTGAACATAAAATGACCTAACTTGATCATTTAAACATCAATTGTTCGAACAAACTTGACAATAACAACAGATAACACGGTGCGGCCGTGACGCGCACACCACGTGCGGTCCTTGGCTTTAAGCCAAATTCTCGACCGAACCTCTATTTTACTCAACAAATCCCACTTGACTGAACATGATACACTTAATGATGGCTGAAGAAACAATAAACGTTCGGGACTTGCCGGAATAAAATAGAAGTAACTCGGTCTTGTCTTAAATATGACCTAACCGAATATAGCATGAATTTCCTCACAATTTCTGAATATAACTCGAACACTCAACCTTATTATGGCCTTACTAACATGATTATAAGATGAGGATAACTATACCTTCTTAGATGCTCGTCGGAATCGCAACCGGACTATGCCTTGCGTGCGTGTCCTTGTGTGCGGAAGTTGCCGGGCGATGCTATGCTATAGAAAATTAGGGAATTTGCTGGTTTCCTTGGCTGAACTTAGAGACTAATATATATATATGGTGCTGATGATATAATCTGCTAAGGGTGGGAAAAATTTTCCAAATTCGGAGGCTATATGTAAAGAGGGCCGAGAGAAATGTTGGTGATGTGGGTAGGATGTGGCCCTTCCTAAGCTTAACATTTGGAAGCTAATTGAAAGGCTTGGGGATGACTAATCCTCTTCAAACTCCCTCATAATGCCACGTGTAAAGTTAAAGAGTTGGAAGAAATTAGTTCCTTAAGACTTAGGAAAATACTTACCAAATGAGAAATTAAGATAGCATACCGTACGGCTTTTTCCATGCATTAAGAGTAACTTGGACGGCTTAAGGCTTAATTTGATGATTAATTGTTAATTAATCATTTTCTTATGTTTAATTATTGAATTAAACATAATGCTTAATTGCCAAAGTTATTCCGAACGTAAACGGTACGTCGAAAATAATTTTCGGTAATCTCGACTGAAATTAATTAATTCCGAAAATAATAATCGATAACATTATTATATCGGAACTAAAACATAATTTATACTGATAAAATATCGGGATATTACAATCCTCCCTCCTTACAAAATTTCCGTCCTCGGAAATTCAAAACATAGCTGAGATACATGAACTATGTACATAGGATAAAGAAATATGTACATCAAAACTGAAAGTCTGGAAAACGAGCACGAATATCGGATTCCTCCTCCCAAGTAGCTCCATGGCGATCCCACTGAATACGCACGAGGGGAATATCTCGCTTCCGGAGCCGACGAACCTGACGGTCTAGTACAGCTACCGGTCACTCCTCGTACGATAGATCTGGCTGAACCTGAATATCCGTATGAGGAATGACATGATCGGGGTCGCACACGTATTTATGCAACATAGATGCGTGGAAAACATTATGAATGCCTGATAACTCAGGAGGTAGGGCTAAACGATACGCGACCTCGCCTACTCGCTCGAGAACCTCAAACGGACCGATGAATCGAGGGTGCAGCTTCCCACTCTTTCCGAATCGCACAACTCCGCGAATCGGACGAACTCTTAGAAAAGCTGGCTCGCTAACCTCGAACTGAATGTCTTGTCGATGATGATCGGCGGAAGATTTCTGTCGACTCTGAGCTGTCCTGAGTCTCTGCCGGATCAACTCGACCTGCTCTACTGTCTCCTCGATCAACTTAGGACCGAGTACTCGTCGCTCTCCAACGTCATCCTAATAGAGAGGGGAACGACACTTGCGACCGTAAAGTGCCTCGTAAGGAGCCATCTGAATGGAAGAGTGATAACTGTTGTTATACGCGAACTCTGCGTACGGCAACAACGACTCCCACTTAGCACCCCTGTCAACAACCAAAGCGCGAAGCATATCCTCAAGTGTCTGAATAGTCCGCTCTGACTGGCCGTCAGTCTCCGGATGGTAGGCTGAACTGAACTCTAGCTTCGTGCCCATCGCCTCATGTAAACTGTGCCAGAATCGACTGACGAATCTGGGATCTCTGTCAGATACGATCGTAACGGGCACTCCGTGGAGTCGAATGATCCCACGGGTATATATCTCAGCCAACTTGTCCAGAGACATCTTCATCGAAACGGGTAAGAAATGCGCAACCTTAGTCAATCTGTCGACCACGACCCAGATAGCGTCGTGATGTTCAGACGACCTCGGCAATCCCGTAACGAAATCCATCGTAACTTCCTCCCACTTCCACCTCGGAATCGGCAATGGCTGCAGGAGGACGATCGGACTCTGATGTTCGGCTTTGACTTGCTGACAGGTAAGACATCTTCTGACGAACTCGGCGACGTCCTTCTTCATGCCTCGCCACCAGAACGACCCTTTCAGGTCGTGATATATCTTCGTGCTCCCGGGATGGGCTAGATAGGGTGCGGTATGAGCCTCTGATAAAATCTCCTTCCGCAACGCCTCAACCTTTGGGACTACGATCCTGCCTCTGAATTCTAGGGCACCATCGGTACCTAGCTAAAAATCCTCGATGCCTCTGGCGTGAACCTTGGCCTCCATGACATGAACAAACTCGTCAGAAGTCTGCTCTCGCCGGATTCTCTTTCTCAGCGTCGGCTGAAACTGCATAGCACTGACGCTGGCACTGGTACTCCCCGAAACAGCTATGGGAAGTGCATCGATCGCCTGAAGCTGCATCCGGGCAAACTCCTGAATCAACGGACTCTGTTGGGTAATGACGTACGTCAAGTCACCCCTCACCTTTCGGCTTAGAGCATCTGCGACGACGTTCGTCTTCCCCGGATGATACTGAATAGAGCAGTCGTAATCCTTGACAAGTTCGAGCCAACGGTGCTGTCTCATATTAAGCTCCTTCTGCGTGAAGATGTACTGCAGGCTCTTATGATCTGTAAAAATCTCGCAACGTCCGCCATAAAGATAATGTCGCCAGATCTTGAGAGCATGAACGATTGCTGCTAACTCCAGGTCGTGCGTCGGATAGTTCTGCTCATGCGGCTTAAGCTGACGTGAAGCATACGCGACGACCTGGCCGTCCTGCATAAGGACACATCCCAAGCCCTGTCTCGAAGCATCGCTGAAGATGATGAAACTCCAAGAGGATCGGGAATAGTCAACACTGGTGCTGAAGTTAACCTTTTCTTGAGCTCCTGAAAGCTCGCCTCACAACGATCAGTCCACTCGAACTTCACAGACTTCCTCGTCAGCTGGGATAAAGGGAGGGCGATCTTGGAAAAGCCCTCGATAAACCTGCGATAGTAACCAGCTAAACCGAGAAAACTGCAAACCTCGGACGGACTCCTCGGTGTCGACCAGTTCTGAACGGCTGAGACCTTAGAAGGATCCACCTCGATACCTGCCTGAGTAATCACATGACCCAGAAAGGATACTCGCTGGAGCCAGAACTCGCATTTGGAGAATTTTGCAAACAACTTTTCTCGTCTGAGGGTTTCGAGAACCACCCTCAGATGCTCCTCGTGCTCCTTCTGGCTCTTCGAGTAGATAAGAATATCGTCAATAAAGACAATAACGAACTGATCGAGGTAGGGATGGAAGATACGGTTCATGAGGTCCATGAAAACAGCTGGCGCATTGCTGAGACCGAATGGCATGACGACGAACTCGTAATGGCCGTAACGAGTCCTGAAAGCGGTCTTAGCGATATCTGATTCCTTAATCTTCAGCTGGTGGTAGCCTGATCGTAAATCAATCTTTGAGAACACACAGGCTCCCCTCAGCTGATCAAATAAGTCGTCGATTCTGGGAAGCGGGTACTTGTTCTTGATCGTCAACCGGTTAAGATCCCGGTAGTCGATACACATGCGCATGGATCCGTCCTTCTTCTTAACAAAGAGAACGGGTGCTCCCCACGGTGACACGCTCGGTCGGATGAAACCGAGTCGTAACAGCTCCTGAATCTGAGTCTTAAGCTCCTGCAACTCCTTAGGCGCCATACGATACGGGGCTTTGGATACTGGACCGGCCCCTGGAATGAGATCGATAGAGAACTCCACCTGCCGGTTAGGCAGTCCTCCTGGAAGCTCGTCTGGGAACACGTCCACAAACTCACAAACTATTGAAACATCATGAGGTGAGCGTGCTTTCTGAGAATCGTCGACAAGGCTCACCAGATAACTCTGGCAGTTGCCTCGTCGCAATAACTTAGTGGCTTTCGCCATCGAAACAACATGAGGCAGTGAACGATTCCCGGAGCCAAAGAAAGTGATCGATTCGTCTTCCGGAAGATAGATAGTGATCTCCCGGTCATGACATCTGATATCTGCATGATAGAAGGATAACTAATCCATTCCGAGAATAAGGTCGAAATCCCTCATCTCGAGAACAAACGCGTCGGTAGACAATACTCGGCCACCGATGGAAAGGCTAAGATCTGAAGCTTTAGCTGAGGTCACTATCTTTCGTCCCGAGGCTAAACTCACCTCGAGAGGATCGACAGCGGTAACGGCGTGAACTCCGATGGCATCAAGACATCGTCGTGAAATGAATGAATGCGTTGCTCCAGTATCGAATAAAGCGAAAATAGGAATATCATTAAGCACAACCATCCCTGTCATGGTACCTGGCTGCTGTGCTGCCTCTGCCTGATCAACCACATAAACCTGGGCCTGCTGTCGGCCTCTCTGCTGCTGCTGCTGAGGCGGCCTCTGTGCCTGCTGACGTGGCTGCGGCTGTTGTGGTAGCTGTTGAGGCTGCGGCTGTAGTCTCTTCGGACAGCGACTTGCAAAATGTCCCGGTTCGTGGCAGTAGTAGCAGATGTCCTGACCCATATGGCACTCTCCCCGATGAAGTCATCCACAAGTCGGGCACGGTGGAATCGGCTGCTGTCTCTGTCGAGTTCTCCGGTCAGTCTGTGCGCCCTTCCCCTTCCTCTTTTTCTCCTTTGCCGGCTGAGGAGCTGGTAGGGCCGGTGGAACTGCAAATGGCTGAACTGGGGCAGATGGCTGGGCACGATCACAAACTGCCTCCCTCCTGATGCTAGCGTCCACTTCCTGGGCGATAGAAACTGCACGAGCGTAGGTCTGAGTCCCGTGTCCCACGATGTTATGACGGACTGCTGGGTAAAGCCCGTCGATGAACCGCTGCGCTCTCTGAGCCTCCGTGCGAACCAGGTCTGGTACGAAAGCTGCAAGTCTAGTGAACTCTCGCTCGTACTCATCAATTGTACGAGTAACCTGCGTGAGCGCTAAGAACTGACGCTCCATCTCTGCCCGATAATAGGAAGGGTAGAACTTTTCGCGGACTAGCTCCTTGAACATGTCCCATGTACAACCCGCTTTTTCACCGGGACGCATGCTCCAATAGGCATTCCACCAGAGCCTAGCATCACCAGTGAGCTGAAGCTGAGCGCAAACTACGCGATATCTATCAGGGCAGTCCATGACCTCAAAGATGAACTCTAAGCCCTGAATCCATTCATCAACGATGCGGGGATCTCCCTGCCCTGAGAACGTTTCGGCATGATAGTCGCGAAACTGAGCGACTACGGTAGCCTGAGTAGGAGACGGATGATCGGGTTCCCTACGTGGCGGCATCTGAACATTGAGAAAATTTAACATTACTGAATACGTGATAACATTCTGACTGATTACTAAGGCACACAGATCTCTTGACGAGTTACCAAAAATGGCCGATAATTACTGACGTGAATCCTGAAAAAACTCTAGAGTCATATCGGAAGATACTAAAGTCTAGAGTCATATCTGAATGCCCTGAATTCTAGAGTCATGTCCGAACTCTAAAGTCTGAACTTGATTCGAGCATCTTAACTAAAGTCCTGATCTATAATTCTGAGCATAGACAAAGTAATATGTTTATAACTGAAAACATAAATCAGCACTTACCTGTCGTCGGCGGGGCGTGAGCATGACGGTTCAAGTTTTTCTAAAAAATTACTGACTAAAAAACTTTTCAGAGACGCAGAAACGTGCTCTGATACCAATTGTAACACCCCTCCTTATCGTCAAATCAGAGTGCGAAAATTTCGCAAAGTCTTTTAAAAATAAAACCTTTTACTTTGCGAAAACTGATTCGGGGTGCTACCTTAAAATCGTGACTTAATTTGGAAAACCGTTACTTAAATTTTTTAATAAAATCAAACGGATGC